CCAGTGCGACAACAGGGCCACGGGCTACATGTTGGACAGATTCGAGACCTGCGAGAGCTGGAGATTCGTCCCGAACATGTGTAGGAGCAGTGGAGCTTGGGCCTTGCCCAACAAGAAGTACTGTCAGCAGACTTGCTTCGACATCGGCCGAGGCTACGACGGCGACAACTGCTGCGCCCCACCAACAGCACCGTCGTCTCTCCCGCCGTCACCCTCACCGCCACCCTCGCCTCCCCCACCGTCATCGCCGCCGCCCTCACCGATGCTGGCAAGCAAATCGCCTCCCCCGCCACCACCATCAGGCCCGCCTCCGCCGTCAGCGCCGCCGCCCTCGCCGCTGCCGCTACCGTCAGTTCCCTCAATAGCTGCGGCCAGAGACGAGCCGCCGCAGTTGACGGCGGCAGCTATTGCGTCGGTTGATTGCTGGTCCGAGCCTGTCGCCGGCTCCTCGCCCGGGCCCAACGACGGCAACCATGTAGAGCACAGCGGCTCCATCGACGCGTGTCGCGCGTGGTGCACTCAGATGGCTGACTGCAAGGCCATCATATTTCGCGCCAACAGGGCTTGCTACCGCCTCAACCGCTACTACGACAGCCTCTACGACCCGGAGCGCTCCTGGATGATGGTGACCAACTACCACCAAGGTGAGGCATGCTTGCCACGCTGCTGGTCCGAGCCTGTCGCCGGCTCCTCGCCCGGGCCCAACGACGGCAACCATGTAGAGCACAGCGGCTCCATCGACGCGTGTCGCACGTGGTGCACTCAGATGGCCGACTGCAAGGCCATCATATTTCGCGCCAACAGGGCTTGCTACCGCCTCAACCGCTACTACGACAGCCTCTACGACCCGGAGCGCTCCTGGATGATGGTGACCAACTACCACCAAGGTGAGGCATGCTTGCCACGCTGCTGGTCCGAGCCTGTCGCCGGCTCCTCGCCCGGGCCCAACGACGGCAACCATGTAGGACACAGCAGCTCCATCGACGCGTGTCGCACGTGGTGCACTCAGATGGCTGACTGCAAGGCCATCATATTTCGCGCCAACAGGGCTTGCTACCGCCTCAACCGCTACTACGACAGCCTCTATGACCCGGAGCGCTCCTGGATGATGGTGACCAACTATGCCCCCTGTGCCTCTACGTTCCACCGAATGTTGAGACATCCATGGACTCACAATGTCAATGATGGGGGCCACGGCAGGTCCTCACCAGCTCTTCGTGCCGGCGACGGCGGCTGAAGGCGTAACTCTTCTGACATACTTTAGGTCAAACACATCGATCGACAGTAGTAACTGTGGTACATTCGTTAGTTTTGCGTGGTGGATTTCAACGCCTCCCTATAGTCCCTAGACGAGTACAGCTAGCAACTTCCAGTTCTTTTTCGCACAAACGCACCGGACCACCAGGAAAGGAAAGAAAACGGACAACCCAAGGGAGGGATGGGAGGACGGCACGCCGCCACCACACAGGGATTTTAAGGAGAGGGGTGTGGTGCGCTAGAGCCGTCGCCCACCCTTGGGCGTCCGCCTCTTCCTATCTCTCTTCGCAGTCTCTCTCCGATTGAACCGATTCTCGCTGCAACCTTCATGCCACCTCGCGGTCGCCCCCTTCTCGTCGTGCTCTCCCTTGTCGCTTCTTCCTCTGTCGCGTCGCTCTCCTCTGCCTCGTTCTGCGACGCCGCCGCCGCCTGCCGTTCCCTTGTTCTCTCGGCTTCTTTCGCCTTTCGGCGCAGCTCCGCCCTCCTTGCTGCATATCCTGGCCCCTCGAGTCTATCGAGCTCTCCTCGAGCAAGGACGAGTCTTCTGACGCCCACTGCTATCATTTGCCGCCAAGTCATGTCGTTGCTCAGGTCCACTCTCTCTTCGAACACTTGTGCCTTCACGGATGATGCCGGCGCTGGGGGCAGGCTGGGGTCCCCTTCGGGTGCATCGTGACAGCTGACAACGGGATTTCCACTGGTTCGTCCTCCTCGGAGTCGTCTTCCCCGGCTTCCTTCCGCTCGGCTCTACGTTCGTTACGTTCAGTGTGGCTCACCCTCCATGCCGTGAACAGGCGCTTTATCCACCCTATATTCTTCTCTCGTTCCTCTGCTCGTGCCTTGGTCTTGTCGTTGTTTCGCACCCATGTCTGTATGGCAATCGAGGCTGCTTTCCCCACTACCTGTAGCTCACTCGTCACCTCCCCCGCGAGCTCCCCTCTCTTTCTTTCGGGTATGGGGTCCGTGAGTGCGGGCAGCGTGCAGGCAATCACGGGCGCTATTTTTTGTCGTACTCCTCTTCGGCGAGCGCTCCAAATCATTTCATTGCCAAATCTAGACCCCATTGCCTTTAAAGAGGCTGCCTGCCCTCGCGCGTCTCAGGAATGCGGCTGTGTCTTTTGAGTCAGGCGCCGCCCGTTCGACTCTTGCTGTTGCCCTCGCCGCGTGTACCGGACCACCACAGCGTGCACCGAAGGCCTTGTAAATTCTTTTTCGCATTGGTGTACCTGTGTTAGTGCCAGTGTGTGCGCGCCAGTCCGTGCCCAGAGTCGGCCTCGGGAAATTTCTTTTCGCTCCTAGTGTAAAAGAAAGAAAGAAAACAGACAACCCAAGGGAGGGATGGGAGCTCCTGTGTCGTGTCCGCAAATTCTTTTCGCTTACGCCGCCCTGCTCGTCGTGCCTCTCTGCCCTTTCTCCCCGCTCTTGTCGATGTTTGGCCTTCCGGGCGGCTTCGGTAGCCGAGGTTTCCAGGACTCGTTCCGCTGCCACAGCGTCTCGCTGCTCGCAGCGGAGCAGCAGCGCGACGCGAGCCGGCTCGAGTACTCGGACAAGATCATCCTGCCACCGTCGTGCCTCGAGAAGCTGGCGCAGCTGGAGATCCAGTACCCAATGATGTTCCAGATCGCCAACCCGCGCGCCATGGAGCGCAAGCTGCACTGCGGCGTGCTCGAGTTCATCGCACAGGAGGGGATGGCGTACCTGCCGTACTGGATGATGGAGAACCTGCGCGTGAGCGAGGGCGACATCATCCAGCTGCGGTCGGTCAACCTCAACAAGGGGTCGTACGTCAAGCTGCAGCCACAGCTCACCGACTTCATCAAGATCTCCAACCCAAAGGTTGTGCTCGAGCAGTCGCTCCGCAACTTCTCAGCGCTCACAAAGGGGCAGACCTTCCGCATCCTGTACAACAAAAAGAAGTACGACATTGGCGTCGTCGAGGTGAAGCGACACGGGGGAGACTTTGCGCCCGGCCAGCC